GAGCTTATTGGCTGGCTAGCATAGCCAAACCAAGCTCGTGAGCTCCAGGTTCAGTAAGAGACCCTTTCTGAAAAGGCTCTGTGGGTAATTGATGACCCGAGTTTAATCCCCAGAACCCACATGGTAGGAGAGAACTGAAGCCCACAAATTGTTTGCTCACAATTGTTTGCACAGGCACCCATATCCACAAACACCACAGATAAAATAAGATGTAAAAGAAAGAAATAAAATGTAGGGAGCAATTGAGGAAGATCCCTGACTCTGACATCTACACGAGCATAGATGTGCACACACACATGCTACTGCATACTGGTGAGATGGCTTCCATCCTTATGATGATGTAATAATGGTGGTGAAGGTGATGGCTGGCATGAGCTTTTGCTGTGTACCAAGCATCACACAAAGGGCACTGCCTACATTGTTTCATTTGACCTTAAGTTTATGGACTGATTCTCCTGTCTGTACCTCCCATCTCACAAAGGAGTGTTGGCTTAGAGACCCAAGCTACCTCATCTGTATGAGCTTTTCAACATGGTTCTAAGGATGAAAGTCAGGTTGTCAGGGTTGCATGGCAAGCACTTTTATCTACTGAGCATCTTATGAACCCATGAGAGAGGGTCTTGACATGTAACCCAGGCTGGCTTATGCAGTTTAGTCTAGTCTGCCTCAGTTTCCTGAGTACTAAGATTAAAGGAATGCTGGGATTACTGACACATACCAGCACACTCACCCATCAATGTTATTTTTGTGTGTGACTACATACTCAATCTACCTTATCTTTTTAGCCAGTTCATGGTATGAAATTATGCCCTGATGGACCACAGAGATGTTCCTAACAACAACAAAGTTGCCTTATACACCTCATCCTTGCATGCATGTATGTCTTCCTTTAAGAAAGGTTCCTGGAGTGGAATTACTATGTCAGAGTGTGCATTATTGTAAAATTTGCAATGTAGCTAAACTGACCTTCAAAAGCTTAATTTACGTTGCAGATGCAGCTGGGTGATAGTATAACAATTAGCTACCATGTACAAGAACCTGGGTTCTATGCCCCAGCAATAAAAAATATATATATTTTATATCCTCCCAAAGTTGCAAGATAGTAGTAGCTAGGCATAGTGGCATATGCCTTTAATTCCAAAACCTAGGAGGCAGAGGCAGACAGATCTCTGTGAGTTCTAGGCCAGCCTAGTCTATATAGTAAATTCCAGGACAGCCACAGCTACATAGTAAGATCATATCAAAAACAAATAAACAGCCGGGCGGTGGTGGCGCACGCCTTTAATCCCAGCACTCGGGAGGCAGAGGCAGGTGGATCTCTGTGAGTTCGAGGCCAGCCTGGACTACCAAGTGAGTTCCAGGAAAGGCGCAAAGCTACACGGAGAAACCCTGTCTTGAAAAACCAAAAAAAAAAAAAAACAAAAAAACAAATAAACAATTAAAAAAATAAACCCAAAGTTGCAAGATACTATATATCCTTATACAGCATCTTCTCAACTCTCGAAGTTAGCGTGTGTGTGTGTGTGTGTGTGTGTGTGTGTGTGTGTGTGTGTGGTAGAAACAGGGTTTAGAATTCTTACATGGTCAAATTACCTAATTTTTCCCAGAATCCTTTGCTATTATCCTACACAGTCAGAAGACAAAGTTTACAACTGTAACTGAAAGGTAACAGTGAAAGAATAGGAAGTTTCTTAAAAATGAATGTTTTAGATGTAGAAAGAATAAAGAGAAACTTCCCTCTGAGATAAACAGCATGCCCTGGGTAAGTACAGCATGTTACACACAGGAAACTAGGGTAAGGAAATACCAGTTACTTCTGGAAAGCCCTGCCAAACTCAGGCTGGTTGATCAGGCTGGGCCTCTGGCCTAATGACTGGCTGATTTAGGGTCAGTATGGAAGAAAGGCTCCCCAATGACTGTCAGAGTAAGGATAAGCCAGAATGGGCAGAGGTGTCAGAACTGTTTTCTGTTCTTGATTACTGCCTAGCAGACATGAAGCTCTCAGAGGCAAAACTTTGCAAAAGTTTGTTACGAGGCTGTATGCTATCCTGCCAGCCTTCCATCAACATGCATCAACTGCAAACCAAGTGATAACATCTCTAGGTATAAAAATAGCATGCTGCCTTGTGTTCTCATCACATTCAAGAGAAAGACCAACAACAGCCCAGACAGAACACTCAAGGCTATGTCCCACGGGTCTGGCAGCAACTATGCTTGTACCTGACGTCTCTCCAGACGCTCCTGGGGTCAGGGCTCCAGCTACCGCTTCCACAATAATCTCCATGTTCCCTGGACCCTCTTCAGTAGCTGTGGCCTCTACCAGGAGGCAGCCTGGGTCAGCAGGCAAAGGGGCAGGCTCCCCGGAAGCACATGTGTTCTGGACAGGGCTCAGGATTTCATGGTTTGAGAGAGGTGGGGGAATCAACAAGAGCTCAGAGCAGAGTCCATCCATCTCTCCGGTGCCGTTAGCCAGCTGGGATGCCAACACGGGGTCTGTCATTATCATTGACTGATGTGCTGTGGCCTCCTAAATGCTGACAAATAACCAGAAAAAAACAACATATAAATACATACACACATATACAGTTAGAACTCTTAATTTCTCTGAAGCTGGCCCACACATTTAGGCATTTCCTTTCATGACAACATGGCATACATTATTATCCTAAATATTTTCAAAGCAACATTCAGCACAGAGAGTATAAAATGAGAATGATGTCAGTATTAGTAGAGAACAAGTTGCGGCCAACGTTAAAGAGTGCAGGTTAATGTTTCTTGCCAGCTAAGTGACCACTGCAACTAAGTGGGGCCAGAGGCTCTCTCTTACTACCTGACGATCTTATTATTCTCAGTGCAGATATAAAACCATTCCTTCACTTATGGGCCTCCCTGACCTGCCTCTCCAGACAACCTTCCCTCCCCGCCCTCCTAAGCAGAGGACTTGTCATTCTCTGTTACATTCTTTTTTGCTTGTAGACCTCTCCACTTTCTTGCCACTCCCATCCAATCCATCTCAGTCTCTCGTCTAGCTAATCCAATATACCGACTCCTTAAGAAAATAAGTACCATCTCTGCTGTGAATGCTTTCTGACATTCTTAATTTTCTCTCTCTTGGGTCCTGAGTCCAGGTGTACACAACACCAGCTGTTTTTAAGATTTTATTTTTAATTATGTGTGTTGATATGTATATATGAGTGCAGGTGCCTACAGAGTCCAGAAGAGGGGGTTGGATCCCCTGAAGCTGGAGTGGTTGTCAGACACCTGAAATGGATGCTCAGGTCCTCAGAAAGAGCATCATTCACTCTTAACCAGTGAACCAATTCTCTAACTCACATCCCCCCCCCCAAAAAATGTGGTGCTGGGGATCATACCCAGAGCTTTGTGCATGCCAAGCAAGTACTCTACAAATGAGCTATTATATATTCCCAACACTGGATGTGGAGCTTTGAATAGTATATTGACATTTTTCACTTCAATGAACACAAAGCACCAACAAGCTACAGAAGTCAGACATGAAAATTCTAGTGACTAGCTAACTTGACGTAAACCCATGTATCTTACACCTAGGTGTCAAACCAGTGGTTCCTCAAACACAAGGTGGCTTTGGAACTCACTAACTTCCCAAGGCCTCCAGAACCTAACACAACCGAGAAACGAATTAAACTACACGCCCTGTTAAGATACGGCTGAAATAAGGGAGATAATTTTTAAAATTTTTGGTATTCAAAAGGCAGAGGCAGGCGGAACTCTGTGATTTCGAGGCCTGCCTGAGTTCCAGGCCAGCCAAGGCTTTTACATAGAGAAATCCTGTTTAAAAACACCAAAAACACAAAAACCAAAACCCCCAAATGACAATAATTACTTGATGAAATCGGTCACCAAGGTTGAAGAAGAGCCAGGTGAGAGCCGCTATTCCTTATTCTGCAGAATCCCTCCACTCAAAACCAGCAAGAGCAGACAGAAATTCACAAGGTGGCATGGAAGAGCACTTCCGTGGTCAGAGAGGCTCTTTGGAAACTACAGCTTCCCCGACTACTTATAATTGCTGCTCTGGCCAATCTTCCAGCTCCATCACGCGCGGCCTCAGGAAGACGCGGAGCTCGAGGTAGGAGTGCGCCAAAGAGAAGTACCGTGCTTCCTTGGAGGCTGGAGAACCAAGGGACACGAAAGCCTGGGGAGCAAGGCGCCCCGGACTACCTCGGTTCCCACGCGCCTCTGGGCTTTGACTCACCCTGTGGCCTTGAACTAGAAGCGCCCGCCTCGCTTCTCCGGGACTCAGCTTTCCGATCTGTAAAGTGGAGGCGGCGACAGCGTCTACACTCTCCGGGCGACAGCCAAGTCACGAGATCCAGCGAAGGAGAAAGGCGCTTCGGAACCTGCAAGGCTTGGAATGATGCATCGTCACGATTATGGTCCTGAGGAGAGGCAGCGGATACCCGGGCGGGGCCCAGAGCAGTGACGCGAAGATGCGCCCGGGTCCCTCTGGTCCGGCGTGCTGCCCTCAGCACCTCCCCTCCCAGGGGGGTCCCACCTCCCAGGCCCACTCACGCTGGGGCTAGGAAAAACTTTTACCTCCGGCTCGCAGCACCGGCACTTCCCCCACGTTCCTGCCGCCAGCCGCTCTCTCACCTTCTACCCCAGGGCGGCTGGGAGCAGCATCTCTATGGTCTGACAGAGACTGGAGCGACTGGAGCCTTTGCTGCGGCCGCGCCCGACCCACGCGCCTCTGGGAATCCGACGTGTAGCGGTCACTCTGTCTCTCTCCGCGGCCCGTGCTACTCTATGGTTTCCCCCCCCTCCCCCCCGCCTCTATGTCCTTGAGTACCCTAGCACTGAAGTCCCAAGCGGAACCATCGAGAGTTGCAGGGCAGAGTGGCACGGACTTTGTGGTGGGTGTGGCGGGAAGTAGATGTAGAGCTCGGGGGGGCGTGGCCTAGCGGCGCTACCTCCGATCGCGGCCTGGTTTTACCATCGAGTCTGAGGGCCAGAGAGTCAATGGCGGTAAGGGGGCGGAGTGACAGATTTATCCCGACCACGTTCCTGCAAGCGCGAGCTGTGTTGTGTAGGGTGTCCCGGAGTCAGCTGCGGCGTGTCATGCTCGGGAACCGGGAGCCAGAAGAGCTTCGTCAGTGGCTTTCTATGCAAAGTTGTTCTGGAATCCCCGATCCCAGCTCCAAGCCTTAGTGGAGGTCACCGCTGTCTGTCAATTCATCAGTGGCCCGGCGTGCCAGGCGGAGGACAAAGTGGCGGTGTTGGAGTGTCACAGGAGAGGTGTGCTGGAAATAATTCGTCCTTTTCCCCTTGGGAATTGTCTACAGTTAGGCCTAGTCACATCTTATTGGGTTGAATTTGGAAAAGGCTCCGTGGAGGAAATAGCCTGTGAGAGCTCAATAAGAATGCCGGGAATAAAGAAGGGGGTATTCGGAACCAACAGAACTGAGTGGGCCAGAGGTAGGTAGTGATTTGCATATTTGTTGAACTGCTAGTAAAGGTAGATATCCTAATGTGGACGTCCCTGCGTATCCGGTTGTGTTTGAACTCAATGGGAAAAAGTCACCGAGGGTGCTGGAGTAAAAAGTGACAGAATTGGAGAGGGTCCGGGTGTGGTGGCTGGATGATGCAAGCGCCATTCAAATGCCACTTCAAGAAATAATATTTAACTTGCATAAAATAGTTTAAGTGGGAAGAAATGACGGTCTGAACAGGCCATTAGGAACTGGGTGTCAGGCCGGGCGGTGGTGGCGCACGCCTTCAATCCCAGTACTTGGGAGGCAGAGGCAGGCGGATCTCTGTGAGTTTGAGGCCAGCCTGGGCTACAGAGTGAGTTCCAAGCTACACAGAGAAACCCTGTCTCGAAAAAAACCAAAACCAAAACCAAAAAAGAAAAGAAAAGGAGCTGGATGAAAGAGAAAGGATATTGAAGGGCATGTCTAATGGTAAGGCATGTGGTTACTGATAGATCAATGGAAAAATCACCTTTGCTGACTCCACCCAATGGGGACCCTTTTTGTCTCAGCTCTTGCCAGGGACCAAAGTCTTGCCTTTCTCTTCTCCTGATGTGAAGCTAGTTACATTGCTTTTTGAAGTTGAGAAAATCTCCAAACATGGTCTTCTGGCCAAAGGTTTTCTGTTTGAAGATCAAAATGGATTGGAGAGCCTGGAGTGCTCTGGCATTCCAACACCATACCTACTCCACCAAAGCATACTGAAGTACACAGTACTGCTGACCTTGCCTCTTGCCTCTGTGGGGGGAAAGTGGGGCAAATTTGATGGGTCTGGTTTCTAAACTCGTCTTATGCTTTCTCCCAGCTCTGCTGCTCTCCACCCCTAGGTTTTGACATTGCCTCGGGGCCTGTAAGCATCTGTGTTTTTTTTCCCTTTCAAGATGCCATTTACAGACTTCGTTCTGGCCCTGAAAGACAATCCCTACTTTGGGGCTGGATTTGGGCTGGTAGGTGTGGGCACAGCTCTGGCTGTAGCCCGGAAAGGAGCCCAACTGGGTCTAGTGGCATTCCGGCGCCATTACATGATCACACTGGAAGTCCCTGCTAGAGACAGAAGCTATGCCTGGTTGCTTAGCTGGCTTACCCGACACAGTACCCGCACTCAGCACCTCAGTGTTGAAACCTCATACCTTCAGCATGAAAGTGGCCGAATCTCCACCAAGTTCGAATTTATCCCCAGCCCTGGAAACCACTTCATTTGGTAAGATTGGAAGCTAGGAAGGGCTCTGAGGATAGGACCGATTGATGGAGGAAATTGGGTCACTTTGACGATTTTATTCAGGTATCAGGGGAAATGGATCCGGGTAGAACGAAATCGAGAAATGCAGATGGTAGACTTACAGACGGGGACTCCTTGGGAATCTGTCACCTTCACGGCCCTGGGCACTGACCGGAAGGTTTTCTTCAACATCCTGGAAGAAGGTATGAGATGGAACAGGCAAGCTTCTGGTGGGGCTTTTAGGAGTGGGGAGGTTGGGCATCAGCTGCTTGGAGAGGAAGACTAAGGATCCAAGTACTTGGGAGGAGGGTACCAGGTCAGAGCTCTACTTAATTGCAGAATCAGCTGTAATCCAGAGACTTACTGCCTCATCTCCTTGCTCTCAGCTCGGGCACTAGCCCTGCAGCAGGAGGAGGGAAAGACGGTGATGTACACAGCTGTGGGTTCTGAATGGCGTACCTTTGGTTATCCACGCCGCCGCAGGCCACTGGATTCTGTAGTCCTACAGCAGGGCCTGGCTGACCGAATTGTCAAAGATATCCGGGAATTCATTGATAACCCCAAGTGGTACATTGACAGAGGTAAGAAGCAGCTGGTATCAAAACTAGTCTACAGCCAGATGACGGGACAGAAAATTCTAGCTCAGGAGATGGGAAAAGAAAACTTGTCTAGGAGGATATCTTTTTCTGATACTAAGACCACCAGACTAAAAGGGAACAAACAGAGCTGATGGGGAATATGGACACCTGGGCCAGAGTACAGGATTCACTTTAGGTCTTGTTTATCTTGGTTATGTCCCTAGGCATTCCCTACAGACGTGGCTACCTTCTTTATGGGCCCCCTGGTTGTGGAAAGAGCAGTTTTATGTGAGTAGTCAAATTCTCTTGACTCTGAAAAACAGCCTTTGCGGGAAAACTGGACTGATAGGGTAGGAAAAGAGACATGGATCTGGGAACTAAGAACCAGGGTAAACATGAGCCATACAGAACATCAAGTGGGTGGTATAGGAGGAGACTTGGGCCTGTGAAGCATACCTCCTAGGAATCCCAAAGAGTCTTCAGGTTGCCTAGGACCTCCTTCCATGTCTCTGTCCACAGAACAGCTCTGGCTGGAGAACTGGAGCACAGCATCTGCCTGCTCAGCCTCACAGACTCCAGCCTCTCCGATGACCGGCTCAACCATCTGCTGAGTGTAGCCCCCCAGCAGAGCTTGGTACTCCTGGAGGATGTGGATGCTGCTTTTCTCAGCCGAGACTTGGCTGTGGAGAGTAAGTGGGGATGCTGGGGATGGGGAGTCTTTTGTTTGGCTGATTTAGTGCACTTACGTGCAGGCACGTGCGTGCGGAGGCGGGAGAACAACTTTTTGGAGTCAGTTCTCACCTTGTACCTTGTGGAAGCAGCCTCTCTTGTTGGTCCTTCCATACTCCTGTCTCTGCCCTCAACGTACCGCCGTCGTAAGATTTAGATACGTGTCCCTGCATCCGGCCTTTTCCTTGGAGTCGGGGATCAAACTAGGGTCTTCAGGCTTGTGTAGCTAGCTAGCACTTGACCACAGAGCCATCCCCCTGACCCAGGGAAATTCTTACTTAAGATACTGAGGGTCAGAAGTAAATGTGGAAGAGTGGAAGCCGGGATTGTTGGAGGCCTGAGCCAGCAACCAGAGGTGCTGATAAGGAGGGAGCTGCAGTGGGGACTGGGGCTCCGTTCACGCTCCTGTCACCCTCTAGACCCTGTGAAGTACCAAGGTCTCGGCCGTCTCACCTTCAGCGGACTGCTCAATGCTTTGGATGGTGTAGCCTCCACTGAGGCACGCATCGTGTTCATGACCACCAACCACATCGACAGGTAACAAGAGAGGAAGGCAAAAACCTCTAGTCCTATGCCTTGGATGGGTCGGGGGTTGAGGAGATTGTCTGTTTCGGGTGCTAGCAGGACTGTTGGCTATGATTCTGCTTTTTTTCCCCTTAGGCTGGATCCTGCCCTGATACGTCCTGGGCGAGTAGATCTGAAGGAGTATGTGGGCTACTGCTCACACTGGCAGCTGACCCAGATGTTCCAGAGGTTCTATCCAGGGCAAGCGCCTTCCTTGGCTGAGAACTTTGCAGAACATGTCCTTAAAGCTACATCCCAGATTAGTCCTGCCCAGGTGCAAGGCTACTTCATGCTGTATAAAAATGACCCCGTGGGGGCTCTTGAAAATGTTGAATCTCTGAGGTGATCCACCAGACCACTATCTGCTCTCAAAAAAATCCATTAAACAACTGTCAAACTAATCTGCTCTGTGACTTTCCTCCCTTGCTGTGTTTGTACTTGAGAATAAAACAGGAAGCCTGGAGGTGGTGGCACGCGCCTTTAACCCCAGTACTCGAGAGGCAGAGGCAGTCAGATCTCTGTGAATTTGAGGCCAGCCTGGGCTACAGAGTGAGATCCAGGACAGCCAGGGCTACACAGAGAAACCCTGTCTTGAAAGACCAAAGAGAGAGAGAGAGAGAATAAAATAGGAGTTGCAACAGCAGGTGCCTACAAGATACACATATACAAATGATGGGCCCATGGCCTAAGAGAGGCAAAGAAGAGACTGAGTGTTAATGGAAAAAATATGTGCCTTCATGAAAGACCACCCAAGGAAGAGACATTATTGCATGACATTATGGCACACGGTATTTTTTTGTTTTGTTTTGTTTTTTGAGATAGGGTTTCCCTGTGTAGTCCTGGCTGTCCTGGAACTCACTCTGTAGACCAGGCTGGCCTTGAACTCACAGAGATCCACCTGCCTCTGACCCCCAAATGCTGTTGTTATTCAAGGTGTGCCATGTGGCACACACTTTTAATTCCAGAGCTACGGTAGCTAAGATTGCTAAAAGCTCAAGACCAACCTGAACTACACAGTGAGACTTTTTTTCCTCTCCAAACAACAAGGGGGCTTGGGATGTAGCTCGGTGGTAGAATGCTTGCCTAGCATTTGCAGACTGGCCGTGATGGCAATGGCCTGTAATCGGAGCACTCAGGAAGTAGAGACAGGAAGATCAGGGATTCTTCAGCTGTGTAAAGCTTGAAGCTAGTCTCGGATACAGTGGGACCTTATCTCAAAACAACCAACAGGTCAACAGGGCATGCCTGTAAATGGACAGGAAGTTATATGTTATGGTACTTTAAGGATTCTGCCCAAATGTCAACCTCCTCAAAACTGACCACTGGCAGGGAACTGAGACCCTTTCCATCTTAGCACTTTTGGAGAACAGACTTAGAGCAAAGGTGGGAGCCCCCTGCCATACCCAAGTCATGGCCATTTAGAAAGAGCCATACCCAGTTTGAACCTGTCAGTAACTCCAGTTCCTGGGGATCCAATACCCTCACACAGACATACATGCAGGCAAAACACCAATGCACATAAAAGATAAATAAAAAGAGCCATACCACACAAGCTAGATGCTGTTAAGCAAAGAAGGCCAAATCTCTTTATTGCCTCCCTCCCACCCCCAATTCCCTGTCCCCCCCACAGTACTGCTAGGAACCTTCCTCGGATTCCAAGCCCAGTGGCTCCCTGCGAGAACCAGACCGGTATGCCCTCTGGCCCCGAGGTAGGTGGGTGTAGGAAGAACCTGGTGTACGGCTTTTGGAACGTTCCCAGCTAGCACAGTCACGAGTCCTGCGAGATGTGGGGCCCTGCCAGCTACCAGGCCCCTTATCCTGAGGGAGACTGGCGAGCCCTTTGTTACGGGGTTCTGGCTTTAAGTCCATAGGCTCCTTGAGAGGCTTCTCAGGAGGTGGCAGTTCTTGGATGTCACTGGTACCTTTTGGGGCACAGCACTCCCCTCCTTTTGGGTGCCTCCGATCATAGTGTCGCCAGGAGCCACGACCAGATCGTGGAGGATCTAGCATGGATTTCTGGGTCTCACCCAGCCTCTGCTGATTTGGCCCAGCCCCTGGAATCTTCTCATACACATACTGGGTAGCCATGGGTAGAGGAGTTGGCACAGTTGATTGGGCAGCTAGGGAAGTAGATTGTTCTGCAGAAAGGGCATTAGGTGGTTGGGGTCCTCTGGAGACATCCACAACTGACTCAGGTTCCAGAGCAGCAGGAGGCTAGGAAGAAGAGAGGCAATGCATGAAGCGAGACCCCTCTCCACTACCAGCCAGCCATTATCAATCTGTAACCTCAGGCAGAATGAAACACACCCTGGGGCCACGGTGTTCATAAGAACACCGGAGGCACTGAGGCCAAGAGGGGACCCCTTCCCTTCCCTCACCTGCTGAAGGCTAATGAAGTACCGGTTCCGTTCAGCCTCAAGGTCAATGATGCCGCCCTTCTCCTGCTGCCTCTGATACAGCCGCTTGAGCTCTTCCTGTTGGCGCAAGCTCTCTGCACTGGGTTGGTACAGCTCCTGGGAGGAAAGGAAGCAGAATGGCAGGAGGAGAAACCCAAGTGAGAAAGCAGACGACATGAACCCGAACTCTTCCAGGATTGTCCAAGGAGAGATGCACAAGGTTCTTATTTTCTTGTTTTGTTTTAGACAAGAGTTTCATAGAGCCCAGACTGGCCTCAAACTCACCATATGGCCAGGCATGACCTTGAACTGCTTATCCTCCTGCCTCCACTTTCTGAAGTGCGGGGATTACATGAGTGTACCACTGTACCAGTACCAGGGTTTTTAATGCAGTGCTGGGGATCAAACCTAGGGCTCTGTGTGTGCTAGGCAAGTGTACTCCCAAATGAGCCACATTCCCAATCCGAGTTCTTGGTTTTGTTCCTCAGAGTTGGGCTTTTGAAGTCTTAGGCTCCTGGTGGGGGCTGTGGCTTTGCAGAGTAGTCTTAAGTAAGTCAAACCCAACTCCAGAGAATTCAGCAGAGACAAGATGCCATTTCTCTCTCCTTAGAGAATGCCACTATTCCTGGCTTAGACCAGAAGGAAATCCCTTACCATGGGTTGTTGGGGTTCAGGGGCTGCTTTCAGCGAGGCAAGATCATACACAAGGGGCTCCCTGCACACAGGACACTGCACACCGACTGCCTTCTAAAACAAGAGGAGAAATCACATCCTGCTCCCTGTCAGCCAGCCAGCCCAGTCTTTGGAGGGCTGGGATTGAGGGGCACAAGCGTTAGGTGCTCAGCAATGAGGTGGGACTGAGGAGGAAAGGGCTGCCTAAGGAAAGGTCTGGAAATGTTGCAAAGCTGCATGCAATATGTCAGTGTACACAGGATGCCTTTCTCTCTGGATAGGGGTGAGACTTCATCTCAGAGGTATCTAGAACTAAATGATGAAAAGCCACAAGAATGGAGGGATGGCGATGGATGTGAACGTCTAAGGGTCACAGGCGAGAGAGTGGGTCTGGCCGGCCATGTCTACCTGTTTGGTGACAGCATGCTGTCGCTCCTGTTCCTGTCCCTGTGTCTTCAGTTCTTGTTCCATGTGCTGGATGTATCGAGCAAGGCAGTGGCAGTGGAAGTAGTGGTAACACGGTGTTTTGGTAAAGGCCTCCTTTTCCTGCAAGGAGACATGCAGAGTCCTGTATCAGTGACTCACCAGCCCTTACCCGTCTGCCCGAGCTCAGCCCGGGTCCCGGCTGGAAAACCCACCTGGAAACCATAGAGGCAGATGACACACTGACCGTGGGGGATGTTGTTGTCTGTGAGAATTTCCTTCCCTTTCTGAAAGGAGAGAAGATGCTACTGAACTGTGGAGGCAGGAGACTGGGAACACATCCCATGTACTTCTTCCAGAAGTGACTGGCTGGGTGTGATATCCACCAAGCCAGCTTGTTACCTATGTAGTGTTTATGCATTCTTTTTTTTTTAATTAAGAAATTTTTTTCATTCATTTTACACACCAATCAAAGATCCCCCTCTTTCCTCCTCCCACCCCCTCAGCCTTCCCCTCCCAACCCACCCCCCACTCCCCCCGCACAAGAAGGCAAGGTGTAGGGGAATGCATGCCTTCAATCCCAGCACTTGGGAGGTAGGGGCAGACGGATGTCTAAATTTCAGGACAGCCAGAGCTACAGAGTGACCCATCATGGTTAACTAGAATCACCTAAGACAGAACCACAACTGAGAAAATACCTCCATAAGCAGGGCTGTAGGCAAGCCTGTGAGCATTTTCTTAATTGGTGAGTGATGGAGAGGGTTCAGCCCATTGTAGGGGTGCCTGTGCTGTTGGTCCTGGGTGCTATAAAAAAGCTGGCTGAGCAAGTCAGGAGGAACAAGCCAGTAAGCAGCACCTCTTCACGGCTCCTTCCTGCCTCCAGGTTCCTGCTCTGACTTCCCTTAGTCACGGGCTGTCCCTCCCCAAGCTACTCTTGGTCAATCACAGCAATAGAAACCCTAACGAAGACCAACAATAAATAGCAAGTAAACAAACAAAAACAGAAAGAAAAGAAAGCACGGAACAGTACAGAACAGAAAAATAAATGTAAGCTGAAGAGGAAAAGTTGCTATCTATACGGTGGCACACGCCTAGAATTCCAGTATATAGGAGGCCAAAGCAGGAGAATGGCCCAGAGCAAGACCCTGACTCAAAACAAAGCAAATGGATGACCAAAGCCACAATAAAATAAAAGAGAAGAAGTACCTTCTCATCAAGACGCTGGAACTGACAATTTGGGGAAGCTACTCAACTACATTTTGGAGTTTTTTTGAAGCATGCGAGTGATCTTTCTAACCTAACTGAAGCCTTAGGCAAACAGGACTAAATATACCGACTTACAGGATGCTCTAGCCTGAAAGGAAGGACATTTTCCCGGGCCATCACACTTTACCTCAATGAGTTCATAGAGCATGGCTGTGCCTAGCCCCTCCTTGGCCACATGGCCCAGGGTCTGTGAGATCCTGGGGGAAAAAAATGAAACCAACATTAAAATTGACTTCCTTCAGCAGGCAGAGCTGAATTCTGCGTTTTCCCTGCTCCAACTAGCCCAATTTACTTGTGGATCTGCTCATCTGAAAGCCCTCGGGGGTTACGGATGGAGATCTGTGGCACCTCCTGGGGATACTGGTGCAGAAAAAGCAACAAACGGTCATGAAAGCGATCCACTCTGGGGACTCTCCCCTCCCTCCCTTTATATTCGCGCAGAGGCCTCACCTTTCCCGGGACCCGAAGCACCAGAGTAAAGCAGACAAACTGCGAATCTTGGACCTCGGCGGTGGCAGGGTGCAAAGTGATAAAGATCTCCCATGGTGAAGATCTGCAGGTGGAGGAAGTGAAGACGCAGGATGTGACTGGGCAGGGGCTGGAAAGCTAGGGAGGAGGGGGGTGAGAGTAAAGCAGGCAGAGGAATGCATGTGGGACTTGTGTCTCTTCAGGGGGAGGATGAAAGGAACAGTGTTTCTATGACAAATATCACCTCTGAGCCAAGGCTCCTGACACCCTAAGCCCAGGTTCTGTGCAGAATCATCTCATTACTAAGACTCCTGCCCACCCCTGACTGAATACGTACCGGCCATTTCCTTTCATCACCTGTAGTTCATCCAGATAGATAGACTCTAACACTTCAACTTCAGAGGGAAGGACCCTGGAGAGGAAGGGGGAGACTGAGTCACCACTGCAGCTCTCCCTGCCGAAGCCCGCCAAGGCTGATGAAGACTGACTTAAAAAAAGCAATCTGCCTCAATACATTCTCTTGCCAATTTAGTCTGTAAAATAGGGAAATGTTTAGGTTGTCAACTGGCCAGGTAGAAAGAATGGGAACTAGGATTTTAGAGTTCACCTCTGCCAACCTGAGAAAACAGATTCCCAGAGATGTGAAACAACTAACCAAGGCTTAACACAGGAGAAATGGGCCCAGTCAGAGACAGGCCCTGACTCCCTGCTCAAGTTTCTATAACTGGTTATCCTTTAATGGCACCTCTCTGACCTACATATATGGTATCTATTCATCACTAACATGGTTACCAATATTACTCCTGTCTGCCTATACTACCCTTCAGCACAGTTCCCTGTACCCTGGGCACTGCCAATAACCTTGCCAGCACCAGTCGGTCTAAGCATTCTTAGAGGATATACCAAGATGAACAGGTTTTAGGTAATCTAAAAGCTATACCGCATGAGAAGAGCCATACGCCTTGTAGCTAATAGTAGGCAGAAACTACTTACCAGCTATGTGGTCAGGTCACTTAGTTTGGGAAGCCTGAGTTACATTGTCTACCACCTAGAGATAATACAACATACTCACTAGGGCTACTGTGAGACTTAAAAATGGTTTGTTTCTATAAACTGCCCAAGTGTCTGAGACATAGTAAGTGATCTTTCCCCCCCTTAAAAGGAAAAAGAGAAGGGCCTAATCTGAGTGCTGCAAGTGCACACGTGACGCTGGATGTCTAGTTACATCATCATGTCTAGGACGGGGTTCATGGTCCTTTTATAAATCAGAGGGCACACACTGAAACGTAGAAACAACAGTTCTAACGACACTGAAGATGGGTGATTGAGTCTGCAGCTCTACCCAGGTGACATATAGAAACCTGTGCCAAGAGGGAGCACACCCAGTATGGCCTTTATCAGTGGTGGTTATTATTACTATGTTTAGCATTCTTTTGAAGCCTTATGCAGAACCTCAAAATATAAAGCTGATTATCTCACAAATAAAAAGGACATTCTGGCTGATATAGATTATTGCAACCACTGATACTCTGTCATTGCTCAGGTGTCCTTTATAATCTTAGACATTCCTCCTAATAGCAAAGAGCACTAGTCTACATGGCTTTATAAAGGTAGCTACTGGCTGGCCTCCCTGAACCAATGTAACACTGTGTACAGCCTCAGTTAAGACATCCTTCAGTATTTTGCCCACCTTAGGTGACCTGGGTCTTGGATGTAAGATACAGACTGAGTGAGTGGTAAGGTCATAAGTGACAGAAGGGGGTGGGTAGTAGGCTATTCTAGTACTAAGAATATAAGGCCTTAAGTCAGACAGACGTCCATTGGGTTATTTTGTCTCTTGACATCTTATACTTCAGCAATTAATGAAAAGCAGGCTTTCAAGTATGTTACAAATCCACAGTGATCCTCCCAACTACTCTATGAGGTAATGCCACGCCCACTTTTTTTTTTTTTTAATTTAAATTACGGTTGGCACCGACTCACAGGAGCTAGCTGGTCTGGTCAGCATCACATCCAGCTAATTAAATACGAAGTGAGCACATTTTTATCTTCAAACCCCAAAGTCCTTAAAGGCCTTTGGTCTCTTCTTAAGAATGCTGGAGAGAGTAGGAGGGCTTCTGTGGGGAGTAAGGCTTTTCTGACAGTAGTTGCTAGCGCTGTCGGGGATTCGGAAGGTTGAGTAAAGCATAGGCAGAAATGGACTGGACCAAAGGGCAGGATCCTAGGGGCACGAGGGATACGAGGAGGGGATACGTCCGTTCCGAGAGGCGGGAGGTGTGAGGAGCAGCCACCCTCCAGGCTCCAGAAAGTCACATCAGGGAGAAGTGGGAGGGATAGGGCCGTAGGAGGGGACAACTGGATAGATAAGGTGTGGGCCCAACTGGCCAGGCCGGCGCAGACCCAGTCCCTTTTCCGATCAGCGTCCCTCCACCCTCCGTTCCCGGTCCAGTAGCTCGCCTAGGAAAGGATGCCAGGGTTTCTGCCAGCTCTCGCCCCTTGATCCACCCCTCAAGCCCGCGGCTCGGACGATATGAAGCTGTTACTAGTTCCCAGCACCAGATCCAGGCAGCCAGCCAAAACCTATCACCCAAAGTTACCAGTCCTCTTCGGCAGCAGCTGTCGACGCAGACGCCGCCATGTCTTCTCCGGCTCTTAGCCGGAACCGGAAATGCCTTTTGGGAAGTTAGAGACGGAAAAGTAGGGCGGGGCGGGGTAAAGAAAGCTGGTGCCGTTTCTAGGCAACTGAAGACTCTGGGTCCTTTGTGGGGCCTGATAGCCAAGCGACAGAAGTGCCCTAGAAAGTGCCAATGGGCAGTTCGTGTCGGTCACACATCTCTGAGAGCTTTGTCCTTTAAACTTCTGACCAGTTCCAGGCAGTAAAACTGGTAAGAGTGGGAAACGAACGAGAGCGGCAACGAAGAATGGTGGAGAAAAGTAAGCTAGAGGCCCGGGCCACCAGCCCTCGGCCTGAGACGCTTGGAGCATCTAGGTTGGGGGAGAGTTGGGGGACCTCGGCTCGCGACGGGAGTCAAGAGCAGGGGTGCTGGGCGAGCCGAGGGTGTCAGGAACTTGGGAGCTATAAAAGGAGCATGTGAGCCTCGCTGGTGGAGAGGAAAGGGGACACTGTGTGCTGTGGGCACCTAGCCTGAGTGGGAGGAGGCTTGAGACGTTCTGTTTCCAAGATCTGATCATCTTTCCATCGTGAACATGTTTTTGAGGTCTATGTTATTGTGGAAAGTTGGAAAAGGCATGGCTGATAGCGTGTATCTTTCTCCCATGTTCCAAGCTAAGCCTCCCAGATGTGTGGAGCTGTTCCTGGATCTACAGCTCGTTGCCACCTTCTTCTTCCTACCTTCTGAGAGACCCTGAAACCCTTGCCATGGAAAAGTACCACGTTTTGGAGATGATTGGAGAAGGCTCTTTTGGCAGAGTGTATAAGGGCCGAAAAAAATACAGTGCTCAGGTAGCGAACAAAGATACCTTTTGAGTGGGATCCAGTGCCCCAACTCCAGCAGAAACTTGGGACAGAAAGGTTGCACAGTGTGTGTATTTCTAGGGCCCGACTCCAGCATACTTCCTAGGATATATAGGCTCTGAAATTTGGTTATTTGGAGTCCAATCCCAGCCTTAGAATTAGGGACAAACTACCTAACCATTCCATGCTTCGGTTTCCCCAAACTGTACAGTGGAGGATGATTGATGGGGTCTGAGGATTAAATGTGTTTCACACTTAATTACTTAGTCCAATGTCTAACAACAAAAGCTGTCAGTGTTCTTTGTAGTACTTAAGAAAAGATAAACCCCTTGAAATCTGTTCTTCCAACTTCACACTTCCTACTCCGTTCGCTAAATCTCACCTTGAGTCCTCTGCTTAGGTCAGAAGACCTCTCCCAGAATCCATCAGAGGGATCTATTTGGCAGTAACTGTTTCCCCCTGATGATGGGTTGACAAAGCCAGAGTAAATCCATAGTACCCTGGGGGAAAGTCGAGGTGGGAGGTTAGCATGTGTTAGTATGCATACTAAAAGTTGGTCAAGCAGTATAAAATCTTGAACTGTAGAGCTCTAAGGTAAAGCTTGGAATATTTGCACTGTGTGTGTGTGTGTGTGTGTGTGTGTGTGTGTGTGAGAGAGAGAGAGAGAGAGAGAGAGAGAGAGAGAGAGAGAGAGGAGGGGGGGAGAAGGGAGGAGAACTAGTGTGTGTGTGTGGGGGGGGTTACTTACAGGAACAGAAATGACTCAAAGACAACTGAATCCCCAAAGCCTACCCCAGCATGTGAGAGCTCATGAAAGCTGGAGCACACTGCACTGCTTACAGGGAGCACACTGCACTGCTTACAAGCAGCTCGACAGAATGGAGAAGGTCTCTTTCAGGCAGCTCACCGAGTCCGAGCCTCTCCCAAGCTGCTGAGCTGGTCTGAGAGTTTCTTTGCACTTCTCCATGGTGTGGTTAGGCCTTGATTCTTTCCTGTACTCCTGACAGGTGGTGGCCTTGAAGTTCATCCCCAAACTGGGGCGCTCAGAGAAAGAGCTGAGGAATCTGCAACGCGAGATTGAAATCATGCGGGGTCTATGGCACCCGAACATTGTGCATATGCTTGACAGCTTTGAGACTGACAAAGAGGTGTGTTTGGATGGTGCTGGCTTGCCTCTTTCCAAGCCCGAGGGCCCCAGACATTTCCCAACCACAGAGTGCATGGCTGTCCCATCCATGCCGTACTGCCTTCTCCTCGCAGGTGGTGGTGGTGACAGACTATGCTGAGGGAGAGCTCTTTCAGATTCTGGAAGATGATGGAAAACTTCCCGAAGACCAGGTAGCCTTCCTGACTCAAATGTTCCTGAACTTTGAATCTCTTTCTAGGTGAAGAGCTAGGACTGCAAGCTGAGGGTGTCAAGGGTTCATTTGTGTGTATGTGGGTGTGTCTGTGTAATGTATATATGAGGGCATATTTGTGTATGTGCAGGCATGTGTAGGTTCATGTGCTCATACATGTGCATGCGTGTAGAGGCCAGAGGTTAGGTTCAGTGTCTTCTTTAATTGTTCTCCACCTTTACATTTTGATGCTGGATATCTCATTGAGCCGTCAGACTACGGATTGGCTGGACTGGCATGTCTGACAAGCTCTAGGGATCTGCCTGTCTTTACCGCTTCCCCAGACACCAGGGCTACAGATGTGGGACGCCATACCCAGTTTCTAACAGAGATGCTGAGAATCCAAACTCCCAAGTCCTCATGCCTATGCAGTGGGTACTTCACTGTCTGAGCCATCCCCTCAGCCCTGACAATTCTTTAAAAAATGTATCATGCCAGATGGTGGTGGCGCACGCCTTTAATCCCAGCACTCAGGAGGCAGAGACAGGCAGATCTCTGTGAGTTTGAGGCCAGCCTGGGCTACCAAGTGAGTTCCAGGAAAGGCGCCAAAGTTACACAGAGAAACCCTGTCTTGAAAAACCAAAATAATAATGACAATTATAATAATAATAATAGTTAATAATAATGTCTACCTTGTAAGGCTATTTGAAGATTAATGATTGAATTCATCAAGATGATCAATAGCTATTAGTGCTATGGATATTGGTCATTGTTATTATCCTTTTAAGGAAGAAAGGCCTCTATTAGAGAGAGCAGTAAGAGAAGCATTGTGGTTGTATAGGATTCATCATCAGGACAAAGAGGCTGCCAATGGGATTTGGTTGAGGAGTGTTCAACGACATTCGTTCTAAGCATTTCTTTATATTCTCAACAAGTAGGCCCCCTCCAACCCCAGAAGTCCCATCACTGTTTGTAAGTAGTCACCTTTAACTGGGGCCATATAGCTCAGTTGGTAGAGTACTTGTCTAGAATGTATGAAACCCTGGGTTGGCTTCCCAGTACCACATCAAACTAGATTTGGTGGCACATATATGTAATCTCAGCACTGGTGAGGTAGAGGCAGGAGGATCAGAAGTACAAGGTCATCCTCAGCTATAGAGTTCAAGGCTAGCCTGGGATACATGAGACTGTTGTTTCAAAAAACAAACAAAAAGTAATCCTCTTACTATTTTGTCTGCCTTGTTTAAGTGACTGTGTATCTTAAGAAAAGGGATTTTACCTTATTTAAAACAGCTGATATGCACAAACTATTTCCTTCATGCCAGGTACCATTTTTTTTTTTTTTTTTTTTTTTTTTTTTGGTTGTTCGAGACAGGGTTTCTCTGTGTAGCTTTGCGCCTTTGCTGGAACTCACTCTGTAGCCCAGGCTGGCCTCGAACTCACAGAGATCCACCTGCCTCTGCCTCCCGAGTGCTGGGATTAAAGGTGTACACCACCAACGCCCACCCGGCGCTAGGTACCATTCTTAACATTGCTTTGCATGCTTTAACTCCATTAATCTGTACAATAGCCTTGGGAGGTAGGTGCTATATTATTGTCACCTTACAGATGATGACTCTGGGAAACCGAATCATTTGTTCATGGTGATGAGGCCAATAAGAGAGATACAATAGGTTTTTCCTTGAGCAAATAAAAGGGTGAATTAAGGGAACAAGAACTAAGGAGGGTGTAGTGTAATGTGAGGCTCTGGAAGAGAAGGGAAGAACAGAAAGTCAAGTTAGCTCAGTACTGAAGTCTGTCTCGTCAGCTGGCTCCATCCTCTGACCTTGCATTGCACTTGTCTGACCCTAGGTTCAGGCCATTGCGGCCCAGCTGGTGTCAGCCCTGTACTACCTGCATTCCCACCGCATCCTCCACCGAGACATGAAACCCCAGAACATTCTTCTCGCCAAGGGCGGCGGCATCAAACTCTGTGACTTTGGGTAGGGTTTCTGGGCTCCCATCCATGCTCTTCCTCCTCCTTCAGGGAGTCCTAGACTGCCCAAAGCCTCACATCAGAGCCAGAGCTCGAGATGGGCCTCTGGCTGGGCCTTTGGAACTGGTCAAAGGTACTGTGTCTGCTTTGGTTCAGGTTATCCCATATGCTAACAGGTAGTGAATGGCCAGGTTTAATTTTCTTTTTAATATTTTTATGATGTTTATTTATCGTGCATGTGGAGATGTGGGCACACATATGTCACGGCATGCTTGTAGAGGTCAGAGGACAACTTACGGGAGTCAGTTCCCTCCTTCCACTGTGTGAGTCCCGGGGTTAGAACTCAGGTCATTAGGCATGACGGTAGTTGCCTTTACCACTGAGCCATGACATCAGCCCGTCTCCTCGGATGTCATTTTCTAGTTGTGACTAGGTCAAGAAGATCTTTGTCATTGCTCTCCTGTCACCTCTACAGATTTGCCCGAGCTATGAGCACTAACACCATGGTGCTGACGTCCATCAAAGGCACACCACTCTATATGTCTCCAGAGCTGGTGGAGGAGCGACCATATGACCACACAGCAGACCTCTGGTCTGTAGGCTGCATCCTGTATGAGCTGGCTGTAGGCACGCCTCCTTTCTACACGACCAGCATCTTTCAACTGGTCAACCTCATTCTCAAGGACCCTGTGCGCTGGCCCTCCAGCATCAGCTCCTGCTTCAAGGTAATAGGAGGTAAAGGGAGATAACTTTTATGTCGGAAACCTGCCTTCCTCTGTTTCTGCCCCTTTTTCAAATCTATGCAGGCAGGCTATGCTGTATCGCAGTAGGAAGTCATTTCGAGGCAACAGG